CAGCACGCTCAGGCTGAGCCGAGATAGACTGGCTGGTTCAAATCTCCATTCCACGTACCCACCTCTCTCCCTATGTTCTCCAACTCAGTGTTTCGACTCCCACCCGGGGATACTGTCGAGCCCTGAGTCCACGGGACTTGCCCAGGGCTACGCAAGGAGTCAGTGGCATCACAGGGGCTATATCTCCTCTCTCGTGGTCTAGCATCTAAAGGACCTGCTATCCCCCCTATCTGCCCTTGGTATCTGCAGCCACCAGCTGGAGCATTGCAGAATTCACTTTTTTTCTGAAAAAGCTCAAACACACAGCTTTGGAGGATATATCCCTGGCCTCTGTCTTCCTCCAGGCTTTAGGGAAGAGCTTAGTCCATGCCGGACTGGAGCCCATGGCTCCCAATACCATCAGCACCTCGAGCCGCCATTGGCACCCTGAACGTCCAGCCTCGGTGGTGAGCCGAGGCCAAGGCTCCTCTGACTCAGGCAGCCGAAGACAAAATTGGGCCCCAGACTTGAAGGTCAGGTGGGTTCCGAGTGTGATATGCTGTCCAGTCACTAGAGGGAGGAGCAGACCCTGCTATCAGTGGGCGTCACCCAGAGGGACCAGTTTCATTATAGGGTTGGTAGGACCCTCAAGACCAGAGGGGACATAAAGCTTGGGTGAGACGGGGAAAACATCTCTACAGCTGCGCCAGTATAAAGCAGAGAGGACACTCCAAGAAGTGGAAGGTCTTCCCTAAAAATCAGCGTTTTTGTCCCCATTTGGAAGGAAGTGCAAATGGAAAGGGCACTGCCGTGGAAAGGGCAGAGAACCTGCCTCTCAGCCCAGCCTGCTCCTGCTGCCCCATGACACGGCCAGCCCGACCTGCCTTCTGCCAGAAAAGTTACCTACCTCACATTTAAATGGCTTTTCCCCAGAGTGCTGGAGCGAATGGACTTTCAGGGACATGCTGCGTTTGAAGGACTTCCCGCACGTCTCGCATGTGAACGGCATGTCCTTGGTATGAGCTGGAAGGAAGCAGAGCGGTGTTAGGCCCGCGTCGCCCTCTCCGGGCCTCCGTGCCTCATGCATCCTCCCTGCCCCAAGCTTCGGCCATGGGAAGTGAGCTTTGCTGCTCTCAAAAGCAGTGGCCAAACCCCAGGAAAACCAAAGCTGTTTCAGGAAGATGCGTGGCAGCAATATGTGACCATCAAGTGCACCTTGGTGGGGTTTGCCACCGATCCCTGATCCTTCAGGCTGCTCCTTCAAACAACCCCATATTTGAGACTTCCCTGTTGCCTGCCAGAGTCCCTTTTTTTGTCCTTTTTGGTGCTATCTGTGAGCAGCAGCCAGCCTGAGACTCATCCCAGGCACAACCAACACTTCCACGTGCCACTGCCGTGCAATTTCCTTCTCAAAGCCCAGTGCTGCTGAGGGTTTGTCCTCTTTTACAAGGGAAGGATGGTTACATTTCAAATCATCCTTTGATCATTTCTGAGGTCTTTTTTTTTTTTTTCCTGGTTAAATAAAATAAATGAGATTCCCCAGTGCCATGCCTGCTCTACAGCAGCGAATTACTCCAAAAACAGCACTGAGGCAATACCAGGCAGACATACGTTCAACATTAAATACCAGGCACCACAGGGTAAAAAAGTCATCTTCTTTCAGGGCTCATGCCAAATTTCCAGGCTTCTGCTTTGATGTTAAGAGAATTCACCCACAAGTTATTCCAGTCCTAAATTCCCAGTGTGACAGCGATTGAAAAATGTTCCTAATTGCTGAAATGACAAATGAATATCCCTAAAGAGATCCCCCAGCTGCCTGCATTTCCTTATGGGGCGAACCAAACACTAGCAGCCGTGACCCACATAACTGAATGAACGAGAAGCTGCTTACTGCTAGAGCAACAGAGCTAGAGGAGAAAAGATGAGTCAAGTTCATCTGTCATCAGATGAGAGGCTTCTTCAGAGGGCAACTAAAGGCACCAAGACCTGAGCTGCTCTCCAGAGGTGCCTGTCCCTCTGGGCGCCAGAGAGTTGAGGGTGACCAGGGACCTCAGGTGAGGTCAGAAGGATCTAGTAATCAGTAAGTAAACGATGATGCTTGTAAAACAAGTAAACGACACTTCCTATGGCCGCGGCGTGGCTGAGTGCTGGAGCCCAGCGCTGGCGCGTCCCACCGCCTCCCGCACTCACCAACCATGTGTTTCCGCACGTGGGCCATCGTGTAGAACTTCTTCTCGCAGATCTCGCAGGAGAACTTCTTCTCCGCGTAGCCGTGGACAATTTTGTTGTGCTCATGGAGCGACCAGAGCTTCTTGAACCCCTTCCCGCACGTCACACACTGCAATGAGAGAGGTGAGTAAGGCGAGAGGAAAAATTGGGCCACAGAGGCTGCACGAGGTGGAAACCAGCTTGCGGCATTTATGACGAGTCCAAGACATGTTTCCCTTCAGGCCTGATCAAATGTTTTGTTCTGACAAATATCGAGGTTTTGCCAATATTTCGACTTTGTCAGTTTTAAAACGGCCAAGTTATTCTATTTTCTTCTGATAAAAAAGGAGAAAATTTTGAAAAGGAAGGCCATTACAAAACCTAACCTTGTAAACAACTAAAGCTAAGAAACTAATAATCTAATCTGATAATCTAATAAAGCTAAGAAACTAATAAAGCTAAGAAAATAATAATGAAGTTTGCTACAGACCTTGTCACCTCAAAAACTCCCAAACTCAACTGTCTCTCCATCAGACGGGAAGAGGGGTGATGTATTTTCAGGGAAGGCCGCAGCCTTTCCACGAACGGATGCATAAAACTTGCATAAACAGTAGCTCACGCCCTAGAGCCCTATTCCCAGCTTGGACTTTTATGCTTTCATACCATTTAGACATTACATTCAAGAAACCTTTTCACATGTTAGAAGATGGCTGCAAAGCACGTTGAACCAACGAGACACCCAAGCTAGGGTAGATAGTGCAACTTTGGTCTTCAGTAGATACTATTGATATTTACTCTAGAGAAAAATTAGTTTTCTGAAAGTATCTTACCCTCCAGCGTAAGGGTGTCACACGGGGACCGTGATGGCATTGGGGACCAACCACAGGTCTCAAGCCCCGAGCCCCTCGTTTTCTCCTCAAGCACACAAAAAGGGTTGCCTACCGCCTTGGGAAATTACTCTCCCCGAGAAACAGTCCACACAGCCAACTGAAGACCACGGAGCCACGTTCTTAAGCACGTACAAAGTTTCACCTAGAAAGCCGCAGCATAGATTTGCTTCCATTCCAGCAAAGCTAAATATTTCTCTGCAAGTCCTTCCTGGGAGAAATGGCAACTCGGGCTGAAACTAAGCCCTAAAAAGTAAAGTGCTGCTGGCACTGTGCTTGCCTCCACGATGCCGAACTTCCCTCCCTCTGGCATATGCTGCAGTACAGCTTTTAAACATAGACCCATATGACTACGGTTTCTTCAGACTGGCTTGCTCCACGTGTTTTTATGGGTGCAAATGCATGCCAATTCTTTTTTCACTGTTCTCCTCCAGCAACTTTTCCGCTGTTTGCCAGTATCAATGCAACCCAACAGGTAGCAAACGAAAAACCTCCCGCGTTTTACGTCAGGGAGAGGAGAGAGGGTGAAAGAGGATCCTTGCGCGACTGCGGCATGAGCTCAACTTAAAATCCACACGGCAGAGAGGGGCTAGGAATATTCTAGCTGGAGGTAAAGCTATTTTGGGGTTTCGAGCCTTTCTGGAGTCCAGACGACCCGACCACTTGGCACGAAGCTGGTGGGGAGCTCCCTGCTTGGGGCAACGTGCGAGAGTGAGGGCCGTGTGTGGCCGACGGTCCTGCAAGAAGCTGAGGCTGCGATACTGTGCATTATGCCACCTAGACACAGTATCTCCCCCTCTCTATTTAAATTTAGGTGCTTAAGAGGCAAAATTAGGGTGACAGAGGCATTCCCAGCGCTTGGTTTCTTAATCTCGGAGTGCTTGAACATTAACATGAACAGTGCTCTGAGTTTTACGGTGTCTACGTGAGATTTCTATGGATCCGAACAGTTTTATTTCTGCTTTAAGAGGCATTTCAGGACAAACCAAGGACCCGCGTTTGGTATCAAAGACACATTGAGAAGACTTTTCCTCTACTTCAAATTAAAAAGGCCGCAGGGAAATTTTGAAACTAAAGGGAGAGGGAAAGCGTCGGGGTAGGAGAGTGCACGGGTTCGGACCAAGCATCCTCCAGGGCAAACCCCCGTATCGTGGAGCAAGGAGATGGTAGAAGCTGGCAAAACGCTAATAGGAAATAGCAGGGAGGAGAGGGAGCAGAGCTCGGTGCAAAGCGGGAAAATTCAACCCAATGAGGATCCACATCTACGTACCCACCAGGCAGCCAGGAGAAAAAGCGGAGGAAGGGGAACGTCTGGGTCTAGGTGAAATGTGGACGTACAGATGCTTGGGTAGGGAGGATAACCAGCATCCTGCGACAGTAGGTACAACTTACGTAGAAAAGACTGAACAGAAATAGAGGACACATTGAAAAGAGTGATATACTAAAAAGCTCAGAGTTAAATGAGGTCAGTCAGCAAAGTGTATCAGAGCAACTCAAAATCTCTAGGCATTGAATGCTCCATGGTGAAAGAGGCTATTTAAACAAAGAAAGCAGCATCCAGAAACAGTGAAGTAATATCAAAATGATGGGAAAAAGAAGGAAAAAAAAAAGATAAAGTCTGGCAAGTTAAGAGGAAAATCACTAAAGCAGGCCAAGAAAGATTTTGAGAGACTTGATAAAGGCACAAAAGCAAACAATAAATCCTTTTTTTTTCAGGCAGCAGAAGCAGGAAGCCCATGAAGGAGGCCAGGGGCTGCAGATGGTGGCAGTGCACGAGAAACCTTCAAAGGAAATGAAGTCGTGGTGCGAGGTCCCCATTTTCACGTGGGCAAAAGTCAGAAGCGTTTCGGGAGAGATTTTGGGGCAAATCTGCGAATGAGAGCCCCCGGACCCGAACGGCATTCATGAAAACTTCCCGAAAGAGCCCAAGCAAGGAGCAGCTCAGCCCTTCACTGAGATGTGCACCAGGCAGCTGAAGACTTGTGTTGGCATTGGAGGATCAGAGGGCAGAACACCTGACACCAATTTCTCTAAAAAATGGGCTCCAGAGGGCATGTGAGGAAGCACGTACTCCTGTCATCCTGGCAATGCGATGGAAACTCTAAGAAAGAACAACATTATTATAAAAATGTTTTATTGGGAAAGAAAAAAGGGGGAAATCCTTTTTGACAGATATATTCAAGACCTTCAAAGGTAGCAGCACCACATTGGCAAGGAAGATAGAGGCTACCTGGGCTCTGTGAAAATATTCAGTATTGTCCCCATAGGGTCTTAAGCTGCAGAGCCATGGGGTAAATGTGATTCTGTGATTCTGTAAGAGGGAAAAGTCCTTCCGCAGATAAATATGTGCTTAGAAATAGAACATAAATGCTGCTCATTGGAGGTATAGAGCCAGAAAAATGCCATTTCCTTCACTGTCCAGCTGTAATTCCATGCCATATTGATAAAGACACTCAATACTGTCAGAGCAAGCAAAGTGAATGTGTCTTCTACTTCTAAAACAAAAATGCATGACTAAAAGAGAGCTAATGATCCACGTTCTCCATGGAGGGAGGTCACCACGTAGGCAGCTGCAGTTCATCGTATTCAGAAATGCCCGGGAAAAGGTCTCGGCATCCAACTTCAGAAAAAGATTCAGTGAAACCAGGAAAAGTACAGAGAAGTAGGACGAGGACGAGCAGAGATTTGGAATGGCTCCTACAGGAGAAACGAATATATCCATCCGCATCCCGCAGCTTGGAAAAGTACTGACCAAGAGGGTACGTGGCAGATGGGTATCAAATCGTAAGAGGAAGGAAGAAGCTCCCCCAAGGGCCATCCCTTTGTATTACAAGACCTGGGGGCATTACAAGCTGGAAAAAATCACAAAACAATTATTTGACACAACGTGCACTTAACCAATGGAAGTCCTTGCCACAGTGAGCGGACGGGAGCAACTCACGGAAGAAACATCTCCTGGCACCTCCGAAACACAAACGCAACCTGTGTCTCCAAGCAATAGCAACATTAGGAGCACACGGGACACAGCTCCCTTTCACGACGCTGACGCTGCCCCCAGCTACGAGCTGATGCTTAGGATCACCCTGCCTTACACAAAATCGCTCACACCTCTGCATTGCCCTCACGTCCAACGCCATGATCTGCTATTTCATTATCCATTAAATTCAGGTCCTACGGGGTCGAGAGCTCCAACGGCACTGTCACTTCATCAACACGGGCTAGAGGATCAGAGCTGAGTTCATTTACAATTAGATCCTTTGGCCACTGCAAGGGTCATACGTGAAGCTCTCCGGGAGGTTATAATTTTTTTTATTAGCAGTGACAGCGTCATGCAGAAGAGTCCAACAGGGATTAGAAGATTAGCTGCAGGATTTTGAAGGAACACATAGTTTTGCTGTTCCACCAGGATGCCTGTAGCGTGCTCAGGGAAGCAGAGAATAAATCAAACTTTTCCTGGCTCCTGACCGCTTTGGGTCACCTGCAGTGCCGCAGTGCAATGGCACGTCAACAAATTCCTTTCCATGGAAAAAAACTAAAGCTTGTCTGGCCCAGAAAGGTTGTGCTGCTTTAACCAACTTGCTCTGAAAGTCCAGATCTGGATCTAATTAAAGTGTTAGGTGAAGGCCACACCTAGCCTGAGTGAAGCAAGGATTTCCCAGCGTGTTCACTTCGTTTGGAAATTCACTAATGCGCAAGGCTGATGATTAAAACCATTTTAACTCATGTCAGTAAATCTTCAAATTAAGCTAAACGGGTTTAAGCTGGAATAAAAATGGCTGGAGTGTCTCCATTAGGGGCTTGCAAGGTTTTACCCAGATTACCTGAACACACTTGAAGAAAAATGACTCCCCAACCACGACAGCTTCTCCAGCCTCGACAGGGCTGCGTTTCTGTCCCGTGACAGCACTGAGGCTCCATAACCGCCACCCGCGACGCCCAGCTCTGTTCCCCACTGCTAGCCCCCCAAATTCAGGTCATGCGAAAACCAAGGTCATCTCCACCCTGCCATGCCTCATCCAAAATACCCTCGAGATGGTGCTAGGCTCTATGGCCCTCAAGAAGGTCACAAGTGCTCTTTGGGCATTGGGGTCCCCTGCCGTGGGCTGGTGGGGGGGCTGAGTTGGGATGTCCCCAGGGGTATCTCACCTGGATGTTCTTCTCGCAGTCAGTCTGGTGGTGCAGGAGCAACTCGCTCTCGAGCAGGAAGCGCTTCCCACATTTGTCGCAGATCTGCATGCGGCTGTGTGTCACGTTCATGTGCTTCTCCAGGTACCAGCGGTTGTTGAAGACCCGGGGGCACTTCTTGCATGGGTAGTGCTGCTTCTCCTCCAGCTTCACCTTCTGGCCCAACCCATCCTGCTCCTTCTTCCTCTTCCTCCCTCGCTGGCCTTCCTCTTCCTCCTCCTCCTCTTCTTCCACCTTGGCCATCTCCTGGGACCTGGTGGCCATGGCAGATTTGGTGGCTTTGGGTGCTCGGCTGGCTCTGCGGGGCTGTCCGCTCTTTTCTCTTTTCACCTCCGATGCATCTTCATCATCATCTTCCTCTTCCTCTTCTTCCGTTGTCTCCTCTAAGTCTTCCTCCTCACTGTGCTCTTCCTCCTCCTCCTCCACCTCTGCATCCTCCTCCTCCTCCTCCTCCTCCTCCCCTTCCTCATTCTCTTCTTCCCCGTCCTCCTCAGTGTCGCGCCCATCGCCATCAGGCCGTCCCATGGCCGCAGCAGCCGCAGAAGCAGCCTCGCGGCCGGCTTCCCCTCCGTCCCTTTGGAGACGTTGAGAGTCTGGTTGTTGAGGTTCACCTCCACGATGATCTGCTCCCGGTTGTACGAGCCCTGGCTGTCCAGGTCCTCCTCAGACTCCTCGCCTTCCATTTTACAGACAGCAGCTGGACCGCCGTCCTTCTCCTCCTTGTAGTACTGCTTGGCCGGCACAGCAGGGAGCGTCCCACCACCTGCCCCGTCCTCCACGCGCACTGAGTAGGGGTCATTGCCTTCCCGCGCATAGATCTTGGGGTGCGGGGCATCCACCTCTTGCTTGATCTCACAGTAGTAGGGTGGGGGGACGGTGTTGGCACAGCCCTCGGGAGGCAGGGCCATGTCGCTGGCCATGGCCAGGCTCAGGGACCGTGTGTCAAGGAGGTCCTGGCAGGAGGAGGCGATGTTGTTCATCTGCAGCACGGCGGCCGCGTTCAGCACGTCCTGCACATTGCAGGAGTTGACCAGCAGCTTGGAGGTGTAGATGAAGTTGAGGATCTGCTGGAGGCCTTGCGAGGTCAGGGCCTCCAGTGACAGCTCCACGCGCTGCAGCTGCTTGTTCTGGGTGAAGAGAGAGTGGAAGAACTGACTGTAGGCGGCGAGGACCCCCTTGTGCGCTGGGAAGATGCTCTTCTGCTGCACCAGCACGATGTCCACGTCGCACAGGTCCGGCTGAAAGAGGCGCTGCTCATTCAGTCTGTCCATCAAACACGTGAAGTGGAGGGCTACATCCTCCACCAGGGAGTACTCAGCCGAAGGGTAGTCAGTTGTCTTTTCAACTATCAGCTGCAAGGAGAAAAGAAATAAAGCAGTTCAGAACAGCCCCTCTCCCATGAAAACACCCGTCCCGCCATCCCACCTTCCCTTCTCCACATAGCTCAGCTCGGAGACCAGGTACGCCAGAGACCAGCCAGCCCTGTGGTCAGAGAACCCCACTGAGAAACTCCAACCACCTTCTTGAGTCCAGTCAACGAGAGGAGAGAAAACTTAACACACAGACTGGCAAGGGTGACACGGGGACTTGCCTACATCCCCTCTGCAAGCCTGCTATCCCTTCCAGGGACAGCAAGAGGAACTGCAGACTAACTCCACCACAGAAGCCATTCGTTAAAGTGGCCAAGGCCTGGGGACACACACGGGGGTGTTTTATGGGAAAGCAGATCCCCATTCCCCCTTGGGACGGAGAGGGGGATGCCAGCCCCATGTCACCATGGACACTGAGCAACAAACACACATGGCAGCAACTTCTCCTTGGCCTCAAATAGAGCTGAGGAGGCTCGGAGCAATCACTCAAACCCCAGATGTGAGACGCTGGCAAAATACATATGGATAAGATGACACCAAAGAAAGCAAGAGGCATCTCTGGGGTGCAAAAGAGGGATTTTGGAAGAGGCTGAGAGCTTTCATCCGTCACTTGTGCAACGCAGCCAGCATGACCTGCGTTTGCTGCCACGCTCTCCTATCACAGCTCCACTGCAAAGCGGGACAGCAGCAATGCAAGACATCAGCAATAACCCAACACTAGGAAACCAATATAGATACTAGTTACAATTCACACTTGGCTGCCGAAGACCCCAACCAAGAAAGGGCTAAAAGGTGCACGTGAGATGGTAGCTGGATGATGAGGGATCAGACTAACAGGTTCTCACCAAATCAAGGGTAGCTCCTAAGATCGGCCAAGGAAATGCTTTAGGCAACGGGGGCTGCCACTGTTTTCCTCTTTGAGGACATCTGTGCCACCTTAAGCTACTTCCACGTGGCTGAGTGGCTTCAAAGAGGGCGTAGAAATCCAAGATGAGGCCTCCTGCCAAGCCAAGACCAGTGATGAGGAAGCCATTCCCTCCCAACCCCAACACATGCTCGCCAGCGGGGTCATCCCCGGGCTCATTAGCAAGGTACAGATGAGGTGCAGCCCTCACTAACCCTCCTGGCAGGGCTGCTGCCAAGGAGGCCCCCGAGCCTGGTGGGACCAGCAGGGCACAGGGGAGCCCGAGAAAGACCACAAGCTCTGCTGATGGGCAGCTCGCAGCCTTGGAGCCGTCTCCGGTGGCTGGTGGTATGTGCCATGGATCAGCCACCTTCAGAGCAGTCCTGTCCTCTCCCGCGCCGCTTCCCAGCCGTATCCGTGGCCAAGGGTGTCTACGCCACCCTGCAGGCAACGACCTGCAGCGACACGCTGTTGCTGCACACGATGCCAGCGACGTGGCTCACCGAAGGATCATGTGCTGTTGATTCCCCCGCACACGTGCCTTGAGCTTGGGAGGGCGGTGGGGCACTTCCCAAAAACAGCAAAGCTGCACCAGACCCAAAAACCCACCACTCTGCCAGGGACGTGCGC